TTCCCTACCAAGAGAGAGAGAATCTTGAGTGGTACGGCTCACCCCATTACTCATGCCAAAAGGGATGTCTCTTCTTCTCACCCTCATCCAACCTGTGCACACAAGCTTCCAAGAGGTCATCCCACCTGCCTGATAGCGAAAGAGTCCACCTGGGGTTTAACCGGGTCTTATGCAGGATGTGAGGGATGCATTTTCCTGGTTGATGCGGGGAGGGGTGTTGGGATGGGACTTAACCCTTTGGTGTCTAGCCCCGAGTGAGATGCTCATCGTCCCAGCACAAGGACCTTCTGTGTTTGGATCCCTAGGTGTGCCCCCGGCAACAAGGCTGGGCCTTGGACATCTTTCCAATGACTTTAACATTGACCACGCCACCAGGACATTCTAGGCACCAAGAACTAGGTAAGTAAAGGCACGGCAGTGCCCACAGCTCACTGAGGGACAGGGATGACATGGGTGAGACTGAAGCAGAAGGTACCAGGAGCGATGTAGGAGAGGTCAGGGTGGGGAAGAAGTTAAGGAAGGGTGGGGGCCTTAGGAAGGGGGAGACAGGATCCTATTTGGGCTAAGAGAACCCTAGCCGTCGCATGGAGGTCCTCCTTTGAAGTGGGCCTCATCCTTGACATCCACACAAACCTCATTATACCTCCCGTTCATCCCCTCCCCTCCCAACACCCCAGGAGCCTTGTACACTGTTTCCCAAGGGAGACAAAACCTCAGCCAGTTGTCAAGGTGGGCGATCCAGCAGAAAGAGTGGAGAGATGGGTTGGGTTTGAGGTGCTGAGGGGCATGGAGTACACCAAATGGCTGGTGGCTAGCTCAGTACAGGTCAGCTGGAGGCGTGAACCAGGGAGCCAAAGACAAGTCCTGGCAGTGGATGCGAAGCCCCAGGCCAAAGGCACAGGACTGACCCTGGGGTGGACAGAGGTGATGAGGCAAGGAAGGCTTTGGAGAGGCAAAAGAAGGTGTCAGGGGTACCCAGATGCAGGCAGGGAGGGGCGAGGGAGTCCGGAGGAATGGCCAGAAGATGGGGGCAGGTGAAGCCAGATGAGAGGCAGTTAAGTTTGGCCACAAGTGGGTGACAGCAATTGACTGCCATCAGCATCAGCAGAGGGTTGGGGACCACTTGGATGTCATAAGGGAAAGGCTGTTAGGAATACGGGTTTTGCTTTTTTGGGAATGAAAGAAACCTTGGTGTGTGAAAAGCAGGAAAGACAAGTGGACATATTGAAGGGCAGGTGGACTGAAGAGCTTGGCGTGCCCTGCTTTGGCGCTCTTTCCCAGGCTGGGAGGCCCTGCGTCCTCGGGCACTTGTTGCAGGCCCACTCTCAAGTCCTAGTATTCTGGTCAGGCCAGGACGTGGGGCTGGGATTGTCAGCCTCTGTGAAGGGTGCCTCCCCCACCCCACCCCCAGTACTCCCCTTCCCTCCGGTTTCTCCTCAAATGAAGAGTCTCTAAACATGGGAAGTACGCACACTCTCTGTCTCCCCTGACCCACCTGGACCTGATGCTCATTGCTCAACACAACTGGAGACCTAAGCATAGCCTCCCTCATGTACAGGGTCGTCCTTCCCTATGTCTAGCCTCAGTTTCTCTGGTTGTGGAGTTGGAGCTAGAGGCCAGGTCGATGACCAACAAAGGACAGGAGTTAATAAATTGAGTCCCTAAGGCCCCACCCCAGGCTCCCAGGCCCCGAACAAGCTTGCTCTGCCAGTGCCCAGTGGCCCAGAAACCAAAGCCACCAGCCCCGGCTCACGGGGTCTGGGGTTGGAGCTGGATGCCCGCGTCATTGAGAGAGAGACTTTTATTGTTCCCATAGGGAAGGGAAACACAGGGAATCACTAAGAACTATAGTGGGTGCCTGGAAAATAAATTAAAACAGAAATGCATCAAAAGGAAAAGAGAAATGGAGAACGGCTGGGAGGCAGCAGTGGCTGTGGGCCTGCCCAGGCAGGCAGGCAGGCAGGCTCTCCGAGGAGAGGATGAGCAGTCCCAGGCCTCAGCCAGCCCATTTCTTGTCCCTCCGTCGATGTTGCCCCAGGCTCCGAGCCCTATGGGGCCGTGACTTGAGGCTTCCCCGCAGCTGGGCAGCTGGGCCGGGGAGCGGCCAGAGTCCAGGTGGGCCCGCCGAGGGCCCTGGCAGCACTCTGCTCTCCTGGGTTTGTGGCTGGCTGCCCACCCTAGTCATTGGAGGTGACATCGATGTCCTCCCCGTTGGCCTGCTTGGTGGCGATGCGCCACCGGTTGATGTGGTGGGAGCCCTTCTTCTTCTGCTCGGACTCGGGTCCCTCCTCCTCCAGCTTTTGCCGCTTGTACTTTGTCCTCCGGTTCTGGAACCACACCTTCACCTGGGCCGGGGAGGGAGGGGCACAGGTGAGAAACAGCCGCCAGGACCTCAGCGCTCAGAATGAGCTGGGAGCCAATGGGGAAACCGAGGCCAGAGTCCTTTTCTCTGGCCAGCTGCCACCTTGGGTTTGGAGAGGACGCAGTGGGCAGAAAGGGGCGATTTTCCTGTCCCTCTCGACAGAGGGACAGGACGGGTGGTGGAGCTGCTGAGCATCCTGTAGCCACAGCACACAGAGGGACAGGCCCAGGCTCCGGAGCCCAACAGACCTGGGTCTCTATGGTTCCTAGAGAAGAGATAACACTCACTCTTCCACAGGGTTGATGGGAACATAAATGAGAGGACATATGAAGCCATCGCATCCCCGTCTGTCCGCTTCTCTGGACCATGCAGTTTTTCACTTGGCCTTGTGCAGCCAGTGGACCGGGTCAGCCTGAGTCAGTGACAGGAGCCTCTGCCAGTTCCTTCCCTCTCTGGGCTCAATTCCCTCATCTACAGGAGAAAGGCATTCTGGGGCCCTTGGGGCTCCAGGGCACCTCCTGGGCTTTTGCTCCAGAGCATCTCAGGAAGGTGAGAAGGTGATGCAGACTGGCCAGGGTTACAAGGCATGGATGCTTTCCTGGAAATGCCAGCACATTCTGAAGGAGACAGTGCCAACTGCAGCTAGGGCGATCCATGGTGCCAGTGTGGATGGTGAGTGGTAAGCCGTGTGTGTGGGGTGATGGCAAGCACCTTGATTTTGGCAGCAGCAGTGGCTGCTAAGGGGGGATCCTTGACTCCTGGGCGGGGTCCAGGGCAGTCCTCAGAAAGACTACCCAGTCCAGCCTCTACTCCCCGAGGATAGGTGACAGTCACCGGCCTTTGCCATAAAGCCAGGCGATGGTAGTCAAAATCAGGCCTGGACATCCAGGTCCAGTTGGCAGTTTCCTGCCCAGGATGCCCCACCCTCACAATTCCCAGGCAGTCCCCTCTGTCCCTTCCATGGAGCCCACCTAACCCAGAGCTGCCCCTACCCCCGCCCCCAACCAGGGTTTCCACAGCTCTATCTGCCCTGCCCTTGATTTTAGAGCAATAGGCGTAGGGTGGGGACACCAGTGCTCAGTGCTATATGGAGCAACCAGCCAAGGACAGGAAGAGATGAGGGGCCTGGCTTCAGGCAATAAAATGAGGAGAGGGGCCCTCTTCCCTCATGTCCAGGGCAGGGTTCAAACCCCTCACCTGTGTGTCTTGCCTCAGGTACATGGGGAGGAAGGGGGATGCTCTAAGCCCAGGGCTTCTGGATTCTATGCCCACCTTTCCTTGGGCACAGGGCTATGGGGCCTTGGGTGGTTCTCAGCATAACCATTTGGCAGCCAGCCTGGCCCCTCCCCACCCCTCAC